CTCACTTGAGAGCATCGATCCACGCGACTCACTTGAGAACATCGATCCACGCAACTCACTTGAGAACATCGATCCACGCGACTCACTTGAGAGCATCGATCCACGCGACTCACTCACTTGAGAGCATCGATCCACGCGACTCCCTCACTTGAGAGCATCGATCCACGCGACTCACTTGAGAGCATCGATCCACGCGACTCACTTGAGAGCATCGATCCACGCGACTCACTTGAGAGCATCGATCCACGCGACTCACTTGAGAGCATCGATCCACGCGACTCACTCACTTGAGAGCATCGATCCACGCGACTCACTTGGGAGCATCGATCCACGCGACTGACTCACTTGAGAGCATCGATCCACGCGACTCACTTGAGAGCATCGATCCACGCGACTCACTCACTTGAGAGCATCGATCCACGCGACTCACTCGAGAGCATCGATCCACGCGACTCACTTGAGAGCATCGATCCACGCGACTCACTTGAGAGCATCGATCCATGCGACTCACTTGGGAGCATCGATCCACGCGACTCACTTGAGCGCATCGATCCACGCGACTCACTTGGGAGCATCGATCCACGCGACTCACTCACTTGAGAGCATCGATCCACGCGACTCACTTGAGAGCATCGATCCACGCGACTCACTTGAGAGCATCGATCCACGCGACTCACTCACTTGAGGGCATCGATCCACGCGACTCCCTCACTTGAGAGCATCGATCCACGCGACTCACTTGAGAGCATCGATCCATGCGACTCACTTGAGAGCATGGATCCACGCCACTCACTTGAGAGCATGGATCCACACGACTAACTTGAGAGCATCGATCCACGCGACTCACTTGAGAGCATCGATCCACGCGACTCACTTGAGAGCATGGATCCACACGACTCACTTGAGAGCATCGATCCACGCGACTCACTTGAGAGCATCGATCCACGCGACTCACTTGAGAGCATCGATCCACGCGACTCACTTGAGAGCATGGATCCACGCGACTCACTTGAGAGCATCGATCCACGCGACTCACTTGTGAGCATCGATCCACGCGACTCACTTGAGAGCATCGATCCACGCGACTCACTAGAGAGCATCGATCCACGCGACTCACTTGAGAGCATTGATCCACGCGACTCACTCACTTGAGAGCATCGATCCACGCGACTCACTTGAGAGCATCGATCCACGCGACTGACTCACTTGAGAGCATCGATCCACGCGACTCACTTGAGAGCATCGATCCACGCGACTCACTTGAGAGCATCGATCCACGCGACTCACTCACTTGAGAGCATCGATCCACGCGACTCAATTGAGAGCATCGATCCACGCGACTCACTTGAGAGCATCGATCCACGCGACTCACTCACTTGAGAGCATGGATCCACGCGACTCACTTGAGAGCATCGATCCACGCGACTCACTTGTGAGCATCGATCCACGCGACTCACTTGAGAGCATCGATCCACGCGACTCACTTGAGAGCATCGATCCACGCGACTCACTTGAGAGCATCGATCCACGCGACTCACTTGAGAGCATCGATCCACGCGACTCACTTGAGAGCATCGATCCACGCGACTCACTTGAGAACATCGATCCACGCGACTCACTTGAGAACATCGATCCACGCGACTCACTTGAGAGCATCGATCCACGCGACTCACTCACTTGAGAGCATCGATCCACGCGACTCCCTCACTTGAGAGCATCGATCCACGCGACTCACTTGAGAGCATCGATCCACGCGACTCACTTGAGAGCATCGATCCACGCGACTCACTTGAGAGCATCGATCCACGCGACTCACTTGAGAGCATCGATCCACGCGACTCACTCACTTGAGAGCATCGATCCACGCGACTCACTTGGGAGCATCGATCCACGCGACTGACTCACTTGAGAGCATCGATCCACGCGACTCACTTGAGAGCATCGATCCACGCGACTCACTCACTTGAGAGCATCGATCCACGCGACTCACTCGAGAGCATCGATCCACGCGACTCACTTGAGAGCATCGATCCACGCGACTCACTTGAGAGCATCGATCCATGCGACTCACTTGGGAGCATCGATCCACGCGACTCACTTGAGCGCATCGATCCACGCGACTCACTTGGGAGCATCGATCCACGCGACTCACTCACTTGAGAGCATCGATCCACGCGACTCACTTGAGAGCATCGATCCACGCGACTCACTTGAGAGCATCGATCCACGCGACTCACTCACTTGAGGGCATCGATCCACGCGACTCCCTCACTTGAGAGCATCGATCCACGCGACTCACTTGAGAGCATCGATCCATGCGACTCACTTGAGAGCATGGATCCACGCCACTCACTTGAGAGCATGGATCCACACGACTAACTTGAGAGCATCGATCCACGCGACTCACTTGAGAGCATCGATCCACGCGACTCACTTGAGAGCATGGATCCACACGACTCACTTGAGAGCATCGATCCACGCGACTCACTTGAGAGCATCGATCCACGCGACTCACTTGAGAGCATCGATCCACGCGACTCACTTGAGAGCATGGATCCACGCGACTCACTTGAGAGCATCGATCCACGCGACTCACTTGTGAGCATCGATCCACGCGACTCACTTGAGAGCATCGATCCACGCGACTCACTTGAGAGCATCGATCCACGCGACTCACTTGAGAGCATCGATCCACGCGACTCACTCACTTGAGAGCATCGATCCACGCGACTCACTTGGGAGCATCGATCCACGCGACTGACTCACTTGAGAGCATCGATCCACGCGACTCACTTGAGAGCATCGATCCACGCGACTCACTTGAGAGCATCGATCCACGCGACTCGAGAACATCGATCCACGCGACTCACTTGAGAACATCGATCCACGCGACTCACTTGAGAGCATCGATCCACGCGACTCACTCACTTGAGAGCATCGATCCACGCGACTCCCTCACTTGAGAGCATTGATCCACGCGACTCACTTGAGAGCATCGATCCACGCGACTCACTTGAGAGCATCGATCCACGCGACTCACTTGAGAGCATCGATCCACGCGACTCACTTGAGAGCATCGATCCACGCGACTCACTCACTTGAGAGCATCGATCCACGCGACTCACTTGGGAGCATCGATCCACGCGACTGACTCACTTGAGAGCATCGATCCACGCGACTCACTTGAGAGCATCGATCCACGCGACTCACTCACTTGAGAGCATCGATCCACGCGACTCAGTCACTTGAGAGCACCGATCCAGGCGACTCACTCACTTGAGAGCATCGATCCACGCGACTCACTTGAGAGCATCGATCCACGCAACTCACTTGAGAGCATCGATCCACGCGACTCACTCACTTGAGAGCATCGATCCACGCGACTCACTTGAAAGCATCGATCCACGCGACTCACTCACTTGAGAGCATCGATCCACGCGACTCACTCACTTGAGAGCATCGATCCACGCGACTCACTTGAGAGCATCGATCCACGCGACTCACTTGAGAGCATCGATCCACGCGACTCACTTGAGAGCATCCATCCACGCGACTCACTTGAGAGCATCGATCCACGCGACTCACTTGAGAGCATCGATCCACGCGACTCACTCACTTGAGAGCATCGATCCACGCGACTCCCTCACTTGAGAGCATCGATCCACGCGACTCACTTGAGAGCATCGATCCACGCGACTCACTTGAGAGCATCGATCCACGCGACTCACTTGAGAGCATCGATCCACGCGACTCACTTGAGAGCATCGATCCACGCGACTCACTCACTTGAGAGCATCGATCCACGCGACTCACTTGGGAGCATCGATCCACGCGACTGACTCACTTGAGAGCATCGATCCACGCGACTCACTTGAGAGCATCGATCCACGCGACTCACTTGAGAGCATCGATCCACGCGACTCACTTGAGAGCATCGATCCACGCGACTCACTCACTTGAGAGCATCGATCCACGCGACTCCCTCACTTGAGAGCATCGATCCACGCGACTCACTTGAGAGCATCGATCCACGCGACTCACTTGAGAGCATCGATCCACGCGACTCACTTGAGAGCATCGATCCACGCGACTCACTTGAGAGCATCGATCCACGCGACTCACTCACTTGAGAGCATCGATCCACGCGACTCACTTGGGAGCATCGATCCACGCGACTGACTCACTTGAGAGCATCGATCCACGCGACTCACTTGAGAGCATCGATCCACGCGACTCACTTGAGAGCATCGATCCACGCGACTCACTTGAGAGCATCGATCCACGCGACTCACTCACTTGAGAGCATCGATCCACGCGACTCACTTGAGAGCATCGATCCACGCGACTCACTTACTTGAGAGCATCGATCCACGCGACTCACTCACTTGAGAGCATCGATCCACGCGACTCACTTGAGAGCATCGATCCACGCGACTCACTTGAGAGCATCGATCCACGCGACTCACCTGAGAGCATCGATCCACGCGACTCACTCACTTGAGAGCATCGATCCACGCGACTCACTTGAGAGCATCGATCCACGCGAGTCGCTCACTTGAGAGCATTGATCCACGCGACTCACTCACTTGAGAGCATCGATCCACGCGACTCACTTGAGAGCATCGATCCACGCGACTCACTTGAGAGCATCGATCCACGCGACTCACTCACTTGAGAGCATCGATCCACGCGACTCACTTGAGAGCATCGATCCACGCGACTCACTCACTTGAGAGCATCGATCCACGCGACTCACTCACTTGAGAGCATCGATCCACGCGACTCACTCACTTGAGAGCATCGATCCACGCGACTCACTCACTTGAGAGCATCGATCCACGCGACTCACTCACTTGAGAGCATCGATCCACGCGACTCACTCACTTGAGAGCATCGATCCAGGCGACTCACTTGTGAGCATCGATCCACGCGACTCACTCACTTGAGAGCATCGATCCAGGCGACTCACTTGAGAGCATCGATCCACGCGACTCACTCACTTGAGAGCATCGATCCATGCAACGGTGTCGGTTGGCTCGGCAATCTGCCTCCACCGCACGATTCTGTCAAACACCTCCCTCCACCCACCAATCAGCTCGCCTCCTTGCCCCCTGCCTTTGCTCTTGCTGTTGCCGCCTCTGCCCCTGCGCCGCCTGCCCTGCTCACCCGTCCCTCTATTGCTGGGACTTCCCTTGTGGCTGCTGCCAGCCACAGCGGAGTCAGGCGCCGTGGCAGCAGTAGGAGCAGTGGGTGCCGCGGGAGGCATGGAGGGGGAGGGGGAGTCAGGCGCGGCTGGAGGTGCAGCGGCCTCACTGTCCAGTGCTGCGGCAGGTGAGCACATGGCTTCATGTGATGACGTGGCATCATGAGATCCGCTGTTGTGCTGTGATGACGTGGCAGAGGCCATGGCATGCCACGTGGACGCGACTCGCTGCATGATGTCAAGCATGGCTAGCCCTGCCATGCGGTACTGTCTCCATGCCATGCCATCACATCCCAGCACACCATAAGCACCATGCCATGCCATCACATGACATCACGCATGCACCATGACATGAGGGTATCAGATAAGCAACACGAGGTACTGGGAAGGAAGGAGGGAACATGCCTGTGGGGTGGGGATGCATAGGGTGTGGGGGTTGGGGGATGCATAGGGTGTGGGGGTTGGGGGATGCATAGGGTGTGGGGGTTGGGGGATGCATAGGGTGTGGGGGTTGGGGGATGCATAGGGTGTGGGGGTTGGTGGATGCATAGGGTGTGGGGGTTGGGGGATGCATAGGGTGTGGGGGTTGGGGGATGCATAGGGTGTGGGGGTTGGGGGATGCATAGGGTGTGGGGGTTGGGGGATCAGGCATGAGCAAAACGCAACAGCCTCCAACACCTTATTTACTCGAATTGAACGTGTCCGGTTCGACAAAATGGTCGAACACTTGGGTGTTCTAATCGACCAGTTCACTGTTCGACCCGAGCACGAACATGTTCGGTTCGAGTACAGCAGTCATTGTAGAAAACGCACTTGTGTTGCGAAATGTGTTTTCAAACAGTTTAAAGCCCGCGGATCAAGGTTTAAGAACTCGATACCGCTGAGTGTGCAAACTTGAAAGGGAATGCACCTGCGATCTGGGACCATCGAGCAGTGGCACCACCCACCATCGAGCAGTGGCACCACCCAACATCGAGCAGTGGCACCACCCACCATCGAGCAGTGGCACCACCCACCAGGGGGGGGAACGAGGGGTGGCTGGTTGGGTTTGTTCGATTTTGACGAACTCTTGCCACAACCCAGACCAGAGGAACTCACTCCGCGTCAACTTTTTATAACGTTACGAACGTGGGCCGATGGCTTTAAAATAAAGCACGAAACGTGTAAGAATAGCATATGTTGTATTTTCTATTCGTGACAGTTGTAAAATTCTCAAGTACCAATATTTGGGGCCACGAAAGCTCTCCCTACGCGTTTTCACGGAAAAAAAATCCTAATGCTTGTAAAAAAAACTCTCCTGAAGCCTGTAATCGACGGGTTTAGGTAAGCTAACGGGCTGGTTAACGAATGGCTACGTCTCAAACTTTTAAGATTTTGACTTCACATGATAACCAGTGCGCCACAGTGACGCGCTGGATTCGACGCGGGCACATATGTGTTTGCATCAAACAAAATAACACCCCAAACCAGTTCGATTTCGGGGCGCTTCAGGCAAACCTATTGAACGAATCAAACCATTCTCACTTGTGAAAACAACACCACTCACCCCTACCTGTACCCATCATTGCAGGTCAACACCTTGTCTTTCCAATTGCTCTCAATACCTCCACTCCACGCGCCCTCGTCATGTGCTCTGTTGGCCTCCCCCACAGCTCTCAGACTTGCCCCTGCGGCCCCATGGCATGGCATGGCATGGCGGCACACCTGGCGCTGGTTGGGGAAGAAGCCGTCCACGTGGTACTGCGTGCGCTGCCCCATGCTGTCCGCCTCGCCTATCAGAACCAGCGCCTGCTTCGACAGGCTCGGCAGCGAGGCTTGGGAGGCCGCTGAGAGGATTGGTTGGGTGAGGCGGATGGGCTGGTAGGCGGGGAAGAGCGTCCACGGCGAGAGCTTCTTCACCCACGCCTCCTGGGGAGGGCAATGACGGTGGGGGAGGGCACGTGTGTGTGGGAAGCCAATACAGGCGTGCAAGGGAGCAAAGATGTTCGAGGAGAGGCAGCAACATGAGGAGACATGCAGCATGGGAGGAGACATGCAGCATGGGAGGAGACATGCTACTGGTGGTGCTACTGGTGTGGTTGACATCCTTGTAGTGCGCATGGAGCAGCAACGATGTCAACCACACCAGTAGAACCACCCATCCAATACGGCACCAATACCCGAAACTTACCCAGAAACTACTTGGACCTTTCTGGGAACGTACACGGAAGTTGACGTCAAGGTGGTGGTCGAGGTGGAAGGCGGTGAAGGGGGCGTCGAGGCGGAGCACCGTGTACGCCGCTATCTCCCTCTGCGGCACACCCGTGCAGCCATGGGGATGCGTGATGGGCGCATGCCATGGGGATGTGTGATGGGCGCATGCCATGGGGATGTGTGATGGGCGCATGCCATGGGGATGTGTGATGGGCGCATGCCATGGGGATGTGTGATGGGCGCATGCCATGGGGATGTGTGATGGGCGCATGCCATGGGGATGTGTGATGGGCGCATGCCATGGGGATGTGTGATGGGCGCGCGCATGCCATGGGCAACGACGGCTTTGGACGAGAAGTGCAACATCTGGTAAAAGGCCATGAAGTGCCGCCCCTGTTAAAATATAGCAGATGATGTTACAATCGTGCTGGTCTTACACCCAGTTATGGTGACAGAGGACAACTTTGTTGCCCGTCGTCAACCAATTAATAATTGGTGGCTCGCCCCCATGAATAGTGGGTAAACAACAACGTTGGCCAACCAATAATCATGCAGCGCACCTCCTGGTTGCCCCTCTTTTCTTCTTCTGCCACCTTGGCGCGTCAGGGGGGAAACCCAGGAACACGCAGGGAGCAGCACGAGTGGACAGCTTGTCCGCAGACCAGACGCGGACAAACGCCCGAGATCCCGAGACACGGAACGTAGACTCATTGCCAACCTTCCCCGTCCACAGCAAAGCTGGGGAGGTCACCGGCATGGAGACCCTGGGCTGAAGGTTGATCTGATGCGCCGCGTACCGGACCGCAAACGGCCACAGAAAATGGGGGGCAGCCGCATGCATCATGGACGTAAGGGCGACGTCCATGACCATGCCAATGCGGCGCTCAGCAATCCCATTTTGCTGTGGAGAGTCCGGAAGCGTGAAGGTCTGGCGGATGCCTCGTGCACGACAGTAGGCTCGCAGAAGGCCAGAGGAGAACTCTCCGCCTCTGTCAGAGTGCAGACGCGGAACAGGAAAGTCCGAGCCGAAGCTCCGCCTGAGCTGGAGACGAGCTGCGCGGATCCAGTCGATCAACACCTCAGTGACATCACCCTTGCTGCGCAAGGGGAAGACTGTGGTGTAACGCGAGTAGTCGTCAACCACCAGCAGAAAGTAGCGCTCGTGACCCTGTCCACGGACGCGAGCTGGGCCCCACACGTCCATGTGAAGCGTCTGCAGCGGGGCCTCTGTCGGAGGAAACTGAGAGGAGTGAGGGGCAGCCCGCTGCCGCCCCTCGACACAGGGGACGCAGGTAGGGCCAGGCCCCGGACGAAGGGGAGGGAGGGACCGGGAAAGACCAGAGACAAGGACACGGGAGGCCATGCTTCGGAGACGAAGCAGGGAGGGGTGACCAAGGCGGTGGTGCCAGAGGAGAGTCTTGTGAGACAGGAGACGACACGAGCAGGGGGCAGACTCAGGACCAGACCTGGACGCTGCAGCAAACACCTGACCCGACGCAGCTACCTGACCAGACGCAGTGACTGGAGGAGACGTAGTGGTCAGCGTGTACAGGCTCGACCCCGGCCGACGTGTAAACGTGGCCAGGTGTCGGCCTGTCCGAGCGTCCGTGCAGTGGGTCACCCGCTGACTCGCAGGAGTGAACTGGTGAACCCCCGCATCCTGTAGGTCAGCACCACTCACAAAGTTCGTAGAGAACGAGGGGAGGTAAGGACCAGACAGGGTGCCAGAGGGGGCCGCCGGACACGGGAGGACAGTGGAGAAGTGAGCAAGGACAGGACCCCCAGAGGGGTCTGCCAGAGAGACTGCAACTGGCCGACCAAGCGGCGTGAGTGTGGTGCGGTCTCGAAGGAAGGAGCGGGAAGCCCCCGAGTCAAGAGTGAAGGTGTGAGAGGCCGGAGCCGACGCGGTACCTGAGAGAGCAGACTCACCCGCACCTGAGGAAGCAGACTCACTAGCACCTAGAGCAGCAGCCGCACCTGTACCTGGAGCAGGAGACTCACTAGCACCCAGAGCAGCAGCCTCACCAGCACCTAGAGCAGCAGGCTCTATAACCGGGTCAGACGGTACGCACAGGTGACCGGCACGGTCAGCACTAGTAGGCAATGCATACATGGCAGTGAGAATAGCATCATAGTCAAGAGCAAATATATCTACCCTCTGCCTAAGCAACTCCACCCAATCGGGGAGCTCAGCCTCGTTGCCAAACTCGGTACGCCAGGCGTCGCTCAGACGGGCGAAGTAGCGGGACTGTGTGTGACTAGGTGTCCCACAAGGCTGACCAGTCCGAGCACCAGTGCGAATCACGTAAGAGCAGCGAACAGAACTGAGAGACACTCTACTCTGAGCGTACCACTCACGAAGCTGCTGGGGCGTGAGAGACGTGCGTGGGCGTTGCTGGAGCTGCATCTGGCCGCCGCCAGTAGCAGTAGCAGCAGTAGTGGTAGCAGTAGCAGCGCCGCCACCCCTACAACCCCAACCAGCGTACCACTCACGCAGCTGCTGGGGCGTGAGGGACTCGCGCGGACGTCGCTGGGGCTGCATCTGGCTCCGCCAGTAGAAGCAGGAGCAGGAGTAGCAGCAGTAAGGCAGGCAGCCAGGCAGGCCGAAAGGCAGGCAGGCAGGCAAGCAGGCGGCGGGCAGCGCGCTAGCAGGGCAGGGGCTCACCAGTGGTGGGAAGAGCAGGCTCAGCGACTCGGCGACTCGGCGGTGCGGGCGGCTCGGGCGGCTCGGCGGCACGGCGGCTCGGCAGCAACTGTGGCTCGGCGGCTCGGGCGACTCGGGCGGCTCGGCGGCAACTGCGGCTCGGCGACTCGGCGGCTCGGGCGGCTCGAGCGGCTCGGCGGTACGGCGCCCGGCAGCAGCTGCAGCTCGGCGGCTTGGCGACCCGGTGGCTCGGGCGGCTCAGGTGGCGCTGCGGCTAAGGCGGCTCGGGTGGCTCGGGCGGCTCGGTAGCAGCTCGGCGGCGCCGGCGGCTCGGTGGTGACGGCGTGGCCGCTTGGGGACGGCGGCGGGGCCGGGTGGAGCGGCAACGGGGCCAGCAGAGGTGGCGCCGGGGCCGCAGGGTAGGTGACGGGGCCAGCAGAGGCGGCGCCGGGGCCGGGAAGGGCGGCGCCGGGGCCGCAGATGTAGGCGACGGGGCCAGTAGAGGCGGCGCCGGGGCCGGTAAGGGCGGCGTCGGGGCCAGCAGAGGTGGCGCCGGGGCCGGGAAGGGCAGCGCCGGGGCCGCAGGGGTAGGCGACGGGGCCAGCAGAGGTGGGGCCGGGTCGGGAAGGGCGGCGTCGGGGTCGCCGGGGTAGGCGACGGGGCCAGCCGAGGTGGCGCCGGGGCCAGGAAGGGCAGAGCCGGGGCCGCAGGGGCAGGCGACGGGGCCAGGAGAGGCGGGGCCGGGTCGGGAAGGGCGGCGTCGGGGTCGCCGCGGTAGGCGACGGGGCCAGCCGAGGTGGCGCCGGGGCCAGGAAGGGCGGAGCCGGGGCCGGGATGGGCGGCGCCGGGGCCGCAGGGGTAGGTGACAGGGCCGCTAGGGCGGCGGATCGGGGCCGCGAGGGCGGCGCGACGCGGCCGCTAGGGCGGCGCGACGAGATGGGGCCGCGACGGTGTAGCAAGGGGTCGCGCACGGCTCCCCTGGGCGCCGCGACGGGTTAGCGGGGAGTGGCGCGCCTAGAAGGAACGGGGCCGCGCGCCTCGGGGCGCGCGCCGGAGAGAAAATCGCCGCGCGCCGTTGGCCAGGAGCATATGTGCCAGAGATGAAAAATAGGTCGCACGCGACGGGGCGTGCGACAGATCAACTAGCAGCGGAAGCAGTAGTAGGGCCCACAGGCCAGGAGCATATGTGCTCTGAAACCATGTGAGAATGAACGAGAATGAATGCACTATGGAAGAGTTGGGTACAAGTGCTAACCCTAATTGGGTTGTACCCCATATAGGCTACCCCACTACAGCCTACACAAAAGCATAAGCTATAATGTTCTGACACTTACTGCTTGCTGTGTTCACAAAAAAGTTTTGCAAGAGTTTCCACTAAGAAAGAACAACTTGCAATTAAAAGTTGATAGTACAATTGAGGCATGCAGAACAAAAGGAACTAGAAGGGAATTCAACTCCTAGCAAGGGCGAAATCTGCGAGCGCAGCAGAAGAGTGGCTTGCCAACATTGCAGCAGAGTGATCTGCCAACGTTGCACTGCGCGCGGTCTGCCAGCACTGCAGTCGTAGGTGACTATCTGCAGTCGCATGTAACTATTTGTAGTTGCATGTTGTCTATCTGCGCAGATGTGCGCACCTACCAAGTAGGTGCAGGTTGGCGGTTCCACCGTCAGGCACATTGCGCAGGTGCCAGGTAGAAAACATGTCGTCAGTTTTGCGAGGTGCGCACCGTCTACCACGTGATGCCGTTTCGCAGGTAGAACTTCGCCAAAATCTCCCGGGCGAAAGTTCGCACACCTCCGCAGAGTTTCGCAGAACTCTGCAACTTCGGTCGAAGGACTCGCCATCGCTCGGTGGAATAGAGTTCGACGAGCAGAGCTCCTCGACCAGAACTCTTTGACCAAAGTTCCTTGACTCGAACTCCTCAACCAGAGTTCCTCGACGGAAGTTCGTCGCGCAGAGATCGTCGACAAGAGCTCGTCGTGCAGAGCTCGTCGACCAGATTCCGTCGAGCAGAGCCTGCTCGACCGCAACTTCCGTCAATCTGCAGAAGCCTACTTCTTCAACCAATCCGTCGAGAACTTCCCGTCGAAGGCGAGATCGGCTGCGCCCAAGCGAGGGCGGGGCCTTTCTCTTCAACAGCGGATTTGCGCAAAGGCTGGGTGCAAGTTGGGGGTTGGGAAACCCGAAGGCGACGTGAAGGACGTTCGGAAGGCAAGGTCGGCGGACCGAGCCTGAACTCCGAAAAGTTGGAATTGTACGCGTACGGAGTGCCTCAATAAGAAATTAGGAAATTTCCTTACACATTGCCATGTTCAGTTACCACAGCTACTACGTACTCGCAGAAAAGCCGTGTGCTTCACGCTAGTCGACTGACCGCTGCGCGTCCCCGCTCGCCCCGCTTCTGTCGCTGGACCGTTGCTCTGTTGCGCGACGCGATCTCTGACACCCACCT